GGGTTTTTGTTTTTGTTTTGTTTTTTTTTTGTTAAGGAGTGAATTTCCTGTCTGCTTTTGTAATTTCTGGGTCACTGAAGCATTGCTTGCAGTTCCGCTGCCCCTAGGCCTGACAGACTTGGCTACTAGCTTATACAACATTAGCTACAGAGGTGAGGAACATCTCTGCACTAAATGTGTACCAGAGAACAGTGGATTTCATGACACAGGCTGACTTGTAAACACCAAAGTAGGAGTAAATGCTCTTTCCTAAAGGGGGGAAACAACAATGAGTATAGCATTGAGACAGCATTTGGATCAACAGCATGGGTAATGGACTCTTCACCTAATTGAGATTACTTCCTGATTACTGCTACTCTACCTTTCCAGGTGAGTATGTCTGTCTCAGTGTTCATGACAGCTATCCTGTATGCTCCTTGTCCAGGGCAGAAAATACAAATGTAAGAAACTGTTTTAGGAGGTCAGGGAAATTATATTTAAAGATCAGCCTGACTACACTGGTAGGTGATTGCTGCTCAGTTTGGAGAGGCTGTGCACACTTCCTGTCCCTCACTAGTGTCCAGCCTCTGACTAGCAGATGCTCTTTCAGGTTGTCATCAGGCCAATATATAAACCAAGCTGGTGAGAATGTGACAACTTAAAGGAGAACTTGGTTTGACACTGGTTGTCAGAAAGACTGATGTGGCCAGGAGAACAAGCAGAAGAGAGACACTTCGCAGCCTGTCTCTGCTTGTGTGTGACTTGCAGCCTACGTGTGGAATGCGTGTTAGCCCAAGAAGGCTACAATCCATCCATTAATGTCTAGGTTTAATGCGAACATGCCCCAGAGCTCTGTTCTCTGCAGCATACTGGGGTGGAGGGAACTCTGCTCCTGACGGAAGAGCCTGACTGTCCAGCTGACTTGTCTGAGATGACTGCAGAAATGCCTTGGTGAATGTTGGAGATGATCTTGTGCACCCATGTGATGTGTTATTTCTCTTTATCAGAAGCTGTTGAGTTATTCTGTGTGAAATGCTAGACACTGACATGTATCTGCAAGCATCCTTTAGGAATGTTCTTTAGTACTTTTTAATCTCCTTCTCTTCCATGCCTTATAGGAAGGAAAAGAGATGCTGTAAGTAGGACCACCACCATCATTGTAGTAATGAGTGTCTTGTAAGTACTCACTTGCATTAAAATGTGGCTTGACTCAAGCTCATCTTGGTCTTTATATTTGCCTGTACCTCACTTGCATGTTACCATTGCATGTAGCATGATAGATCCTAACCTAATTTGAATGTGTATATATAGGAGCACTCGGGTATAAGAGGGGAATGGATTGCCTTAGGAAGTGACACATGGAGTGAGAAGGCTGATTTGCCAAACTAGTCTACCTTGCAGGTTTACATGTGTCTGATCTATAAAAAAAATTTTAGGGTTTACTCATTCCTAGTTTTAAAGTTCCAAGAGGATACACTGTTGTCATTGCTATATAGGTTGCCATTACACAGCTTAAAGCTAACCGCCAAGAAATGTTTGAATAGATCTTTATTTTCAAGCGTGAGCACTGCCTCACACCCATTTTCTCCCAGGATTCTCTTTTCTTAGTTGTTTTTAGCCCAGACCTTGTTTCTGTAGCATTGCAACCAAAATTGGTACAGGACTTGATTTTTGTTCTCTTCTCTCTACAGTTTGCTGCTCTTGGTCTTGCTGAATATAACACTGTTTTTCAAACTGTCAAAGATAGAGCATGCAGCTCAGTCCCTCTATCATGTCCAGCTTCAGGAAGAAAGCTCTTTGAAGTAAGTTGAATTCACAGTGTTTGCTTTCTTTCTTCCTTAGCCTATGTGAGAATCTGATCTAAAGAAACAGATTTTGAACACTGAAACTTAGTGCTAAGTTTTCAAAAGCTGCTGGGGCTTGCTGCTCTTCTGTGGTCTATGCTGATATCCAGTGACACTTCTGACTGCATCTCACAGTAATAAATTTCTTCTTTGACGAGCTGTTTTTTGGAGGAGTGTTAACCTTAGCTTGCATTTATCACCCTGCTGTGACTCATCTTCTGTGAATATCATAGTGCTGATTGCAGAACCGAAGTGCTCACTTCATCCTGTGTGAACCAGGATGATCTCAAATGTAATGTTAAAGATTTATTTAGCATTTTAGCCCCCTTCTGTGAGTCTCCTGCTAAATCTTCTGTCCCTCTCAAGCTTCCATATTAGGTGCCTTTTTTATTTGGACACATGGAAGAGGCTCAGATGTTGCTTCCTCATTTGAATTATGGTATCAGCAAATAAGTTAAAAAAACATGACGTGATCTTGAGTATGGAAGCAGTGTGACCTCCCATAGCGATCTCGGAACTGATTAGAGTAACTTTCTTCATGAGAAAGATCTTGCCCTCTGAAATGTCAGAGCTTACATTGTAGACATAATGTGAGCGCATTTGTTCCTGGTGGCTGTTGCCTACAAAAGGGTGAGGCAGTATCTTCAAGGCAGCAGGGAGTGAAATTCAACTGCAAGCAGCTTTTTATGTGGCTTTTGGAAAAGGATGCTTTCAGCAGTGACGGAGCAGTGGTGGCAGAGTGCAGTTGCATTTAGAAAGGCATGGAGGTGCTTGTTCCATGTTTCTGATGTAATCTCAATCTCTTTCAGCATATCCCCAGAAATGGTATCAAAAGAGGAGATCCCTCAATATGATAAGGAACAGGTTAAACATGTGAAGGGAGTTTTAAGAGACTCAATTGAAATGCTTGAGCAGGTAGGTCTGCCAGTCTTTCCTGATGATTCTCTTTCCCAACTCAAGTTTTTTTTCCATTCTGCCATCATGCCTTTTTTTGATATTTTTCTCTTTTTTTTTCTTTCACTAGTGCTAATTAAAGTTTTCATGACTCCTTTACTTGTTTTGTCCTAGGCTTGAATTTGGTACAATGGGCAACACTCGTGTTTCTGATGTTTTGGGTTTTTTTTCCTTTGGACTAAGATTAAATATTTATGTAAATTTTCTTAAACCTGTCAAGTACTTTTATTGATGAGATGTGTTGATGCAGTTCTGAATCATAAAAAAGCAAACACTGGAGTAATTCAAAACAGAATTTTCTAAGAAGAGTCAAAGCATAATGTTAAGTCTATGCCCATCTCATTATGGGGTTTCCTCACTCAGGTTTATCCTGGCTTTTGCTCCCCAGTACTCTTCTACATACTGGTAAGAGCTTCACTTAGCCTTGGTATGAGTGGGCCACCTAATCTCCAGTGAAAAATAAATAAATTCTCCAGACCTTATGTTTCTGGGAGGCTCCACAGCTATGGAGTTAATCTTGCTTCTTCCCAGTAATTTACAGTTCCAGGCTTTTACATACTACAAATACCATATTAAAAAATGAGGTGGTTGAATGCTGTTTTCTCTCTCTGATCCTGAAGTCCAGGACTGGTAAACCCCTAGGCTGAAATTTTAACTCTGTAAGTGAAGGACAGTAGATTCATACTTTGGTTTTTACTTATATCCCATGAATGTTCTGATTTTAAATTACTTTATTAAATCTTGAAACATGATGGAAGAAATTATTATATTAGAAAAGGTGTGGAGGAGTTCACATGTACCTCTATCCATCACCAGTTTGCTCTGTGCTCTCCCACACACTAAAGGAGGGTAGAAAAAGAAGCCAATTTTGATACTCCCTGTTCAGAGGTGTCTCTGCACACAAAATTGCTATTCATCTGTTAACCATTTTGATCACAGCTTGAAAAAGCTTGAGTGCTGGAAACTTCACTGTAGAAATTAATTTCCTTGTTTCCATGTGCTTTTCAGTTTCTCTGCATACTACTGGAAAAATTCCTAATGCTGAAGTGTTAAAAGGCCTTTTGAACAAACAGTGTAAAAAAAAAAAAAGTAAAAATTCAACCAGCTTTTTCTTGCCAAATAACACTTTTCTGGAAGTCATGACACATCTTAGTGCCTGTTAGCTTGTGTTTTCTGAGGGCTGTCAATCTAAATGCATTTTGTGCACCAAAATGCACTGAGAGGGCCAGCTATTAAAAGAAAATTCATGCTTTGCTGTCATGTTCCTTAAAGTATTAGCTATGAACATTAACTGTGACTGAAAATGAGTGGAGTAGCTTATCTCCCACGCTATTGTCTGGCAAGGTGTTAAAACTTGATCATACTGGACTCTTAGTAATTATAAACTGTACAGAGTGCCGCTGTTAGGAAAGCACAGTAAGACAACTGTTTATAGAAACAGGGAGGAGGAAAATGCATGAAATCTTTAAAAGAGAAGGAGGAGGGAGACATTATTTTTCTACTATCACTCACCCATGCAGAAGGCTAATGTAAGTAATTGGGGGGGGTATGGTGGTTGTATCTTCACAGCTAAAAAGCTCCCTTTCCATGCTCCAGAGAAGCTTTGACCACTTGAACAGGACACAGAACGGCAAGACTGAGAGTTAATACCCACATCAGTTTTCCCTTCAAGGCATTGGAAGAAAAGATGTGTGTGTGAGGACTTGTGGGGTGGGGATTGGAACAGTCACCTTTGGACTCTTTACTATTTGGCTTAAAAGCTGCAAGGAATAAAGGTTTCTGGAAGAAGTAAGTTGGGCTCTGCATTCCCATCACCGGGCGATGTGTTCTTCTGCCAGCCCTGTGTCTTGGGGAGTCTCGCTTAGGAACAGCGCAGAGCTCTCAAATCCTGTGGTGAGTGAGGGAGGGCCATTGTACCGCTGGTTAGCGGATCTGCAGATTTTGGAGGAGAGGAGAACACCCTCAGCAGAGGGCTAGGCTTCTCTTGAATTAAATTATAGCTTTTTTATGTTAACCTAAATGACCATCCGGGATGAGTGTTTCTGAGAAAAAGAACAGGTACTGGTTTTACAGCCACAGGATCTTTATATGCTTTTTTTTTTTAACCACAGGGACCTTGTAAAACATGTCACCATCTTTAAGAATTAATATTTTTATGATTAATTAACTGAACGGGAACATGCTTGATACTTCTTTGCTAAATCTCTTGCATACGGCGAGCTTTGGCTGACTGCCTCCTGCCATATGCTTCTACCTCTCCCAGAGAAATTTCATCCTTTGGTATTTTCCCTGCCTCCAGGGCTGCTCTTCATTTCTTTAGCACAGTGTGCCCGCCAACACTGAAACCCCTTGTCTTCTTCTGGCTTCAGGCTTTTTGTAGGCAGCCTCAGAGAAGGAAGATGAAAATAAAAATTGGCAGCAAAGGACCTGACACCATCCTTCAGCCCCAGGGCAGTGCTGGCTGGCATATGCTTGGTGGACGCCTTGTAGGGTGCAGACAGCCGAGCTTCTCTGGCTACAGCCCCGCTGCGGGG